TTCATTTGAGTATAATTCCCTGGGGATGAAAATTGCGAATGAAATAGGCCTACAAGATTGAGCTTGAGCGAGTTTGCTCGCTTGTAAACAAACCGGGCCGAGTTACGGGAAAAGGCTTCCTGGCCCAGTTGTTTATGTTGCAATGTTCGCAAAAATGTATTTAGTTTCCTCACCGACCTTGCAATTGCATCTGTTGTTTGGCATTAAACTTGGACATTCTTTACTTAATTTAATGTTCATTCGAATAGTTGACGACAAAGAGCTTCGAAAAGATATTTTCGAATGTTTTCATACAGTAGAAGCTAGTATACTTTTCGTATGTAGTCATTTTGCCGCGCTACGTTTCAAAATTTGTTTTGTACATGAAGAAAATTTTTTTTTCTTTTTATTTTGAACCCCTAACTAAGTACAGGTGAGGTTTAAAAAGGTTAAAAGAACCTCGTACCGGACCCAGCCGGGGCCATCGGCGGAACTCAACCCAGCTAAACCTCATTTTTGTTTTTAAATGACACGGTTACATCGCTTGCTTTTTAGACTATACTAAACTTACTAAACGTTTTTTATAACATTTTAAGCTTATAGGGCCTACTGTAGTTTTGTCCACGCATGCATTCAAGCAAGCAATTTATAACCATGTCATTTTTAACTAGCCTATACACAATCTAAATACTAAACACTATTTTGCAAGTTTTGTAATTACCAAAGCAAATAAACAATTGCTATACAGGCATGCAAATCAAGTGCATTCCAACAGATAATTGACCTACCCGGACCTATATATAGGCTATGTTAAATCTTAGTACATAAACTCATATCAATGCCCGTTTAATAGCTATCAGTATTCAGTAAGCTATGTTGGCATACAGTAGATTTGTATAATCCTTCAGAGCTATTGTTTATTTGAATATCATAACCTCATTTTTAGCATGAAACTGTTTGTCCAAAATATTTTATTTGACCTACCCAATTTAACCTAGACCTAGTAATAAAATTATACTATCATGTATAACATCTGAGTCATACTGTACATGTTTGGATGTGCCCATGACAAGGGAATATCTTGTCATATGAAAGTTCTTGCATTGTGCGCCTTCTAAACAGCCAGGTGATCTTGATACGCGGAAAAGTACTGGCACTAGTTGTCAAATAGAAATCCATTTTATGATTAAAACAACTGAATATCTCCTGTAATATACTCTATTTCGATTCCATATTTTTGTCAGAGCTATAGTTCTCATAACCAAACATAATTACAAAATTTCAACTAGTTTCATAAAGAATAACGAAAGATATAATTGACTGAATACATCAAAATGGATTTCTATCCGGACAACCCTTTCTGAGCGCTGATTGGCTAAAATACGAACACGAGATCGCCTGGTATACTTCAAAATAAGGTTTCCGTTTTTATAACGTAGAAAAAACTATCCTAACGCAAAACTAAACCCTAACCCTAATACTAAACCTAACCCTAACCCCAACCTAACCCTAACCTAACCCTAACTTATTTTAAAAATAGAATAAAAACGGAAATCTTATTTTGAAGTATACTATCTAGCAATTGCCTATCAACAAGGTTGTTACAAGTTGTTAACAGCTTGTTCCAAATTTGTTGACAACTTGAGACAAGAACTTAACTAAAGATTCAGTCTATCTACAGTATAATTGTATATTATTTGCGCGGTCTCTGATAATGAATACCAATGGTATGCCCTCCAAAACAGTTAATTTTACCAATGTCTAAAACACGTGATAACTAAAATAATGTAAGATCGGAAAGAGTTATTTAAATTTTCAAAGGCAATGATAAAACACCAGTTATAAAACTAAATATTCGTATCTTTTCAACTTTAATATAATTCCAAGTAATTTAACCGTCAACATTACAAAGCTGAATGCATTAAAAGACTTCACAATGGTCAAGTTTTACATCAGGCCAAACCAGCTGTCAGGCAGTTTACAGTTAGGCCATCATCAACTTAGAATTATCAGTTTTTCAATATACTGTACAAAATATCTAATTTACAGTCAGTCGTAAATTGTTTTAACAGCTAATTAAAAAAAAGTTGTCCTTTGCAAACCTTAAACTCTAAAGATTAAACCTTAAACTCTAAGCGTGCAAAGCATAATGGTAGCATCATTTAATCATATGTTTGCGATGTTACTCTGAGTGTATATCCACACCGGGCGAGCTTGAAAAATATGCCCAGCCACGGTGGGATTCGAACCTACGACCTTTGGAATACTAGCCCAATGCTCTTCCAACTGAGCTACGCGGTCAGGACGGTTCGAGTAAGTGATATTTCGGAACAGTATCTAGTTCCTTCAATACCAATGTGTTCTAGTAATATGAATTTTTTTTCTGTGTTGGTGTTGTGTACTCAGGTGAATATGTTTGCGATGTTACTCTGAGTGCATATTCATATTAAAAAAATTCATATTACTAGAACACATTGGTATTGAAGGAACTAGATACTGTTCCGAAATATCACTTACACGAACCGTCCTGACCGCGTAGCTCAGTTGGAAGAGCATTGGGCTAGTATTCCAAAGGTCGTAGGTTCGAATCCCACCGTGGCCGGGCATATTTTTCAAGCTCGCCCGGTGTGGATATGCACTCAGAGTAACATCGCAAACATATTATTCACCTGAGTACACAACACCAACACAGAAAAAAATCATTTAATCAGTGTAGAAATCATATATGGGGCTCATTTCTTAGAGATATGGTAAATATCTCCTTACGAGAACAATACATTCACAAATAGCTGCAATATTCAACTACTAAGCTTGAAACTTGTGCTCCCATTAAGCGCGCTTAGAGTTTAAGGTTTGCAAAGGACAATCTTTTGAATTGGCTGTATATAATTTACATAAACTTTATAGCGTGGACTTTTTCGGCTTAGACAACGTTGATTTTTAAAATTACTATATACGCCAATGAACTCATAAGATGGGTCGTTTTTAAGCCACTTAATTTAAAACACTCGGCAGTCGCCTCGTGTTTTATATCTGATAAAGCACTCCTGTTTTTGTGTTTTAAATAGTAAACTATATTCTCATTCGGTAGCCACACTTTCTCACAGAAACATGTTAAAAAGCACCTGGCCTTGCAAACGGCGAACACACACTAACGTCCTAAAGGCCATGTTACACGATGCAATTTTTCTTGCAACTTGAAATGCAATTCTACTCTTGAGAGATGTAAAATTGCCAAATACGAGTCTTCATTATACTCCGCTAATGTTTTCGCAACATATCGAAAATTCTTCACTGACTTCACTAATTAACATCTCTCAAGAGCAGAATTGCATTGCAAGTTGCAAGAAAAATTGCACCGGCCTTAAGTAAGGCGTTAAACACAAGCTAGTGTCAAGTTTTAAAACTGCCATAAATCACTTCTTAATTCTCACACAATGAAAAGGTTAATATAATTTTCGGTTCATTGTCAACTCTCAAAAGGGCTCAAGTGACGAATAGTGGAAATAATTCTTCATTATCAATTTATCTCTTTTTTCTTTTTTCTCTTCTATTTTATTGTATTAACTTAATCTGAAATTATTTTTATAATTGCATGTAATTATGATCATACATAACACGGCCTATTGGAAGATCACATCTTGTAAATATTTTAGTTTTTGTCTTTGTGACATAGTACCGTGGATATAAAATAAAGTTTGATTGATTGATTGAAAAAGCACTGTTTCGTAACCTCTTCACGAGTACGAAGTGATGTGATGATAGCTTTAAAATCGACAACCTCGTATCCAGGGTCTTTCCTCTTGGCGAGGGGAAGACTCTGGTAGACGCTGGTCATGTGATCTGCTAAAATCTAGCAGATTTTTAATAGACCTTTCCCCTTATAACCAAAATTTTGATCTAGGCAAGTCTAGACAAATATTTCATCACAGCTTGAAAGAGCATCACAAAATTAATAATATTCCAAAGTTTCGTTGCGAAATGTTATAAAATGAGGAAAATAGAGCCTTGCAAAATTGGCAATTTTCATTTTGCATTACAAACGGGAAATTGCAGCCCCAACACCCGAATCGTATGTCAATTTCCCGTTTGTAATGCAAAATGACTGAAAAACGGCAAACTTCGCAAGGCTATATTATCCGCATTTTACAAGATTTTGCAACAAAACTTTGGAATATTACTAATTTTGTGATGCTCTTTCAAGCTGTGATGAAATTTTTGTCTAGATCGAAATTTTAGTTATAAGGGGAAAGGTCCATTAGCAATCCAAGATGAGGTCAATAAATATTTGAATGATTTTTATAGTTTGATTGATAATTTGCATTCTGTACGATTCTCGTAAAGGAATCCAAGATAGTTTATTGGAAATCTGCTGGATTTTAGCAGATCACGTGACCAGCGTCTACCAGGATCTTTTCTCCCCAAGAGGAAAGACCCTGAGTACGAGGTTGTAAAATTGACACGAGCTTTAATAAACCTCAAAACGTCAAGGGCGAGTGGGTACGAAGGCTGAATAGCGCGATGCATCGGACAGCGATTGTTTCAAAGTTAAGAGAGATTAAAATAGCCTGATTTACGGAAATGGGTAATATACACGTACCAGTACCCACAAATCGGGGTACGGACTTGCAACTTAAGAAATCCAAAATATTTCTGGGTGCAAAAACCTTTTAGAGAATAGTAAATTTCATTGTTGAGCGTCGAGGTTCACCATAAATTTGGGAAAACTTGACGAGCATATGCGCATAATATTGATTTATTTAGGTAAGATGTTGAAGTATTTCACTGCTTAAACGCCCTACAAAGCTACAAATAGTAAACGGAGAACACCAGTACCCGTTTTGTCTTTTACGCGTGTAGACCACATGGTTTACCTCGGGATAATACTTATTGTGAGGACAATAAGACAATAACTGTAGTTTCACAGCTTTCCAGGCATTTTTACTTTCCATTTCCCATGGATAGCGCTATTCGGCCTTCGTCAAAACTAACTCTACGATATACCAAAATCACGATTTTATCTAAACCTCATCAAAGACGTCTTGGAACATAACTCTATGCTGTTTCCCCTTCAAACATTCCTGGACCAAATTTTGTATATCTGTCTTCATGTCCTGTGGTTTGAGATTTGGCGTGTATCTCTTTCTAGGCTGCCCTGTGTGGTCGATCAGGAATTTCTCGAAATTCCATTTGATGTCCGTCGTTCGAATTGGCGAGTAGAATCGTTTGCTCGGATCACCAATGAGTGTCGTGGGGTTTGGACACTGCGACTGGGGAAAAAATGAAATAATTTTTAAACAACTGAATTTTATGCATAAATTTCAACCTTAAAGTGCATATGACATGAAATTTCTTATTTTCTTAAACGAAAGAACTCTTTAAGCTGTAGTGTAACTTATTTTTCAGTTTCTTGTTTTTATGGTTTGTTCCAGAGATATTTCAAGTTGTTTGATATGTAAATGAGTGTGAATATGTCCGCTAATTTATGACGTCATGTTGGTTGCAAGCTCAACTTACACTGGTTATAAATGTATCAACTCTAAAAACTATAGATATCTGTTCACGTTTTTCTACAGTGTTTCATCACATTTACCAGTGAGTGAAGTTTGAAATTATCATCTTGGATGATAGCAGTGCCAGTGATATTCAACCATTTTGAAGAGCTTGCAACCAACATGACGTCATAAATTAGCGGACATATTCACACTCATTTACATATCAAACAAATTGAAATATCTCGGAACTGAATATAAGTTACACTACAGCTTAGAGTTCTTTCATTTAAGAAAATAAGAAATTTCATGTCATATGCACTTTAAGAGTTAAGGCTAGTTTCCACTCAGGAAAATTATCCGTGGATAGGAACGGACAAAAACATTTTTCTTTGCGTTAAAGTCTTTAGTTCTAACCCAGAGCTCAGAAGACAAAGAAAAATTTTCTTGTCCGTTCCAATCCACGGATAATTTTCCGAGTGGAAACTACCCTTTAGAGCGCTTGCAAAATAATTTCCCATGGACCAACTCAACAAAAGCCATGGTGGTCATGTTGGAGTTCCAGACAAGAGTCTAATTAAAATTCTTTTGAATTGGAACACCATGCACATTGACGCCATGTGCAAACGTAAAAAGGAGCTGATTACATTGAGAGGTTTCAGGCCGGGCTGAGTTTCAATTGTCTTACTGTATAGAATTTTTGGGGCTGCGATTACATGACTTACATGGACCAGGCTAGCTAGTCAGCTAGCTAGCTCACAGCTTGTCATTAAGATGTGTTCGCACTGCTTGTTCCCAGTTGTTGACAAGTCTGGAACTCGCAACAAGTTGTTCCAACAAGTCTGACATCGTCTGCACGAAACAAGTTGATGACAACAAGCTCGTAGCAACTTGTTACGAACAGCCTGTATTAGTCTCGTTGGAACAACTTGTAGCAAGTCTGTTACCGTCATCAACCTTGTAACAAGGTGATAACAACTTGTTCCAGACTTGTCACAACAACTGGGAACAAGCAGTGCGAACACATCCTGACATCGGCTTGACAACAACATACCTTTAGCCAAGTAAAGAGGGCATCCTCTTTCTCTCCATTAACGTCCCTTTTTACCAATAAATCGAAATTCGGTTTAAAGCCATTCCCAGGTCTTACATACTGCAATGATTTCACGATTTCAATCCCCTGACCTGGCTCTTGTAATCCGAATTGATTACAAGGAACGCCGAAGACTTTCAACGGGCAACGAGTCGTATTAAACTCTGTAACTAATGCATTCAATTGTTGATACTGTTCAACAGTTATACCTCAGAAGGAGGCGACGTTTGTGACGATAACAATTTGGTCTTTGTTTTGTGAGAACGAGATATTTTCTTCGCCAAGCAGTAACTTATCGTTAAATTCGTGAAGTATCCGCATTCCTTTAACACAATCCGACATCACATCGGACGAGAAAACACATATAAAGTTGGTTGCCAGTATGGCAGCTATAAACCGCAGCGAAACCATTTTCACCACTGTTTTAAAAGCAGCAAAGGAACTCCAACGAGTCAGTTTAAGACTTTAAGCCACAGACAAATGACACGCCGATTTATAATATAACACTTGAATCTGTCGGCTGGAACGGACAAATAATCTGAACGGTCCAATAAACCTTTTCAAAAGACAAACGAATTCAACGCCAATGGTAAAAGTGACGTTTGAATATCACGTTTACTCGTCAAAATTTGTTAATTTACACTAAAGCCACATTAAACGTCAAGCTTGCCAATAATGCAACGTACAGGCGTCAAGCACTCGAGTTTTGACAAGTGAACAACTTTAGTAATTATCTTCCTTTATGAATAATGAATATTAATGCCTTCCTCTGCAATACTTAATTTATTTTACCAACGACTTTATAATCCTTGTACAATAATAGAATATTTTTAAGCCGCTGCATGTACTTGTTGTTTTCTTTAAATTCAGTCAACTAAAAATAAATACAAACGTTTACTTTTGTCTGCGACGATTCGTTGATAATCTTGTCAAAACAATGGAACCTGCTTTAAGGTTACTCAAATCTGATTTCTGGCAGGTTAACTATTGATCAAAAATGTTGAAAATATACACCGTATTACACAAGTTATACTTTCTATCTTATTGGCTATTATATCTTATCACAGATCAAGGCTAGATTTCTGCAATATGCTAGCCAGCTGTTACATACAGTCACATATAGGAAGCATTCTTCCCATTGCTAAACTAACTTTATTTATACTGGATAGCTATCTATTTATTTAAGCTCTGTCAGTTCTAAACTGTTCTCCCTAGAAGTCCAGTAAGGATAATCTCTTAATGATCCAAGAAAACCTAAACAAAACTGACTTTATTTATAGTGCCCTGGATAGCTCTATCAATCCTAAACTGTTCTTCCTAGAGCCGTAGAGTTCCAGTAAGGATCATTTCTTATTGATCCAGTGTTACTACAGGGGGAAACCTAAACTAAACTAACTTCACTTATACAGGATAGTTCTATCAGTTCTAAACTGTTCTTCCTAGAGGTCCAGTAATGATCATCTCTTATCGATCCAGTGTTAATTACTACAAGAGGAAACCTAAACTATAAACTAACTTTATTTATACTGGATAGTTCTATCAGTTCTAAACTGTTCTTCCTGAAGGTCCGGTAAGGATTATCTCCTATTGATCCAGTGTTACTATAGGAGGAAGCCTCAACTAAACTAACTTTATTTATACTGGATAGCTCTATCAGTTCTAAACTGTTCTTCCTAGAGGTGCAGTAAGAATTATCTCTTAG